AAAAAAAAAAACAAATTTTCTGGTATTGGCTTACTGAAATTAGTGTAATGATGGCCACCGTTTTTGAGAGCCTATTCCAGGACCTGTACTGGGCCCTTATTTTCTTCACACAGCAGTTCTGAGAGATTAAGGAGCTTGAAGCACTGAGGTTTGAACCAAAGGCCATGCCCCTTTACACCACACAAAGTGACCTCCCCATGTCCACAACTTGTCGATTTTAAAGAATTAGGGTTGTTTGTGTAGAAGTAATATTGAGTGGAGGGGCCGGGCACCTCATGGGTCTTCTCAGAGCCCTACCGAAGCCCTTTTCCCTTGCGAAGTGTGATATTGGGGACTAGTGGGGGGTAGCGTGCCATTAAATATTTGCTTCTGTTCCTGTTTCTTTTGTCTGATGACCTGACCCAACAAATTGCTTTCTGTTCCCTGAGTGAAGGGGGGCAACACAGGGCTAAACATAGCATTGATTGTTTCTATTTTCTCATATTGTACTTCTCAAGGTGATAAAGATAGAGACAATTACAATATTATCTACACTGCAGACAGGACAAGTGGCCACCCGGCTGGTGTTGATACACAGTAGCAGTTCTTTGCATTTTCAAAGAATTTTAGATATAACTCCACTAACCAGTCTCCTGGCTGCTTCACATGTAGCCATCTGTGGCCCAGATGCAGGGGAGAGTTCAGCAGGCCCAGGTTGGACCTGCCTGGCCAAGGAAGGGTCACTTGTGTCAAGGAAAAATGATAAGCAAGACCTAGTGAACCCCTGTAGCCTCCTTTGGATTTTGTCACCCATTCCTTCCATCACTCCCCTCACCATGCTGTGGGCCCCACTCAGTGCTGTGCGCTGGGAGCCATGCTGGGCTGTGCTCTGGAGCTGGTGGAGAGTGGTAGACATGTAAGCAGATGATTAAAGCTCATGCGACATATAATTGGAAATCTAGGCAAATTGCTGTGGTTGCACAGGGGGTCATGTGGAGGAGGAGGTTTTGGTTCTTTGGTCATGTGGAGGAGGAGGTTTTGATTCTTAAATTGAAGAATCAGAGGTTCTCTTAGTGGAAGGAAGATAAAGTCAGAAGAACATTCCAAGCTGTTTTGAAAGTATGAAGGCATTAAAGAGCTGAAGTCTGGGGGAAGACTGTGACCATGGTCACATTGTGCTCCCACAGAACCAGTGGACTGAGATGAGAACTGACTCTACGTGATTCTTCCCTACAACGAAGAACTCTTACATATTTAGGTCATATCAGTTACTGTTTGCAAGCAGGATGCAGTAGAGTTCACCATTCAACCCCAAGACCCACTGGGGGCTTGTTGTCAGCCTCAAGTCCCTGTTGATTGGACTCGCAGCCTCTGCGTTCAGATTCACCTATGTTCATTCCTGCAGTCTCAGTTGTGAAACCTTTTAGTTTCATAGCGAATTGCTGGCGTGTGAGGGTCACTCTCCAGGGTTATTTATCCTAAACCAGGAGAGGTATGATTTGAGGGCTGATTGGGAACTTTCAAGGGTCATTTTGACTCTACATGATTCTGGTCTGACTTCCAGTGTCATAAGAAGTTTGGTGTCTGGGGTGAAGGGTGTGCTGGGGAAATAGTGGTCAGGCCTGCATGCCAGGCTGAAATGTCTGCATCCCAAGAGGCAATAATGGACAATTGCCAAGAGGCCAGACCACAGAGGTGGAGGCCGCAGGAAATTCTCTAGAGCCAGTGAGGAAGTGGAACTGTAGTTGGGAGTCCCTGAGGGATCCAGTTAAAAAGTGCCACCATCACAAGGCAGCCATGGGAGGGAATGCACTGCCAGTTGAGAGAAGTGCCAGGTTCACATTTATGTGTCTCCCAACTCCTCCCTTCTCGTGATTTCCCTTAAGATGGGGAAAATTCCAGGCCAGTGTAACAAAAATGGAATAGAAAGTGTCATCCTCAGAGGATGGGATCAGTCTCTTCTCATTTCATGGGTTTTTTGAGGTCTGGTCAAGACACAATCTGGCAGGTGCCGTAGGCGCCTAAGTACCGGCCCATGTAACCGTCTTGAGGCCCTCACTGTGCTGTGGCTGGGCCCAGTGGTTCCTTTCTCAATCCACCATGTTCCTGGCCCATGTGGCACCATAGTACCTTGCCCCCAAAGAGAAGTTGGTGGCCAGCAACTTCTGTAAACCCAAAGGAACAAATGCAGAGGAGGACAAGGGTTAGGCCCTGGCCCTGGCTCTGGTGCTGGCCGTGCTTCACTTCCTGAATTAAGGCAGAACTCAGCACCAGTGGACTTAATGGTAAGAGCTTTCACATACTGGCTAACACAGTTCTCAGAAGATTTGAAAATTGTAGAAAAACAAAAATAATAAAATATCAATCAAGCAAACATTGACCCATCAACTATTAACATTTTGGTTTATTTTCTTCTTCATGTATAACATAGTACATATTTTACTAAAGAGAAATCAAACAGTCTTATATTCTGCTTGTGTGTGTGTGTGTGTGTATGTGTGTGTGTATGTGTGTGTGTGTGTCTGTCTATCTGTCTGTGTTTTACTGGGGATTGAATTTAGCCTTGCACAATTTGGCAAGTTCTCTTCCACTGAGCTACACCCCCAGCCCTTTTTTATTTTGTGACAGAGTCTCACAAAGTTGCCAAGGCTGTCCTCAAACTTGTGATCCTCCTGCCTCAGCCCCATGGTAGCTGGGACTACAGGTGTGCGCCATTGTGCCCAGCTTATGTCCTGTTGCTGCCTCTTAGCATCACACTGCTAGCATTTCCCCATGCCCTTAAATAGCCTTGAAACTGCTTTTCACACTCTGTGTTATTCCTTGACAATTCACTTAACCAGCCCTCTACAGTAGGACTTTTAATTATATTTATCATTTTGCTGTCACTAAGTCATTCTGATGAACATTACCACACATAGGTCTCCCCTTTTTCTTAGAACAACTTTTTTCCTTCTTAACATATGGTCAAGACTTAGCCCATGTTAGTTTATATTTCTTCTAATTTTACTTTATTATTTTAATTAACTTTGACCTGCTGACTAATGTCAAATTGAAACTTTTAAAAGACTGGTGAATATTCCAGGGGAATGCATTTCATGAAGAGCGAAGATATATTTGAATAAAAAGATATTTACTTGTAATGTTTGTGTTTGGAAGTTATTTATCAAATGCAGCTGAAGAAACAGGTATTGCACTTGCTATGGTCAAGATCTGGGAAGATACTGGGATGAGTGAATTGGATGTTTAGCCACAGTTCTGCTTTGTTCTCACCTGGCTTACAGAAGATTTCTTTCCTGTGTTTTCACCATCTGAGATCCTTCATGGATAGGTTTCTCCTTGTGTCCCCTGTCTAGGGTCCCAGCTCCTCAGGCTTGTGTCTGTAATGTGGCAGGTGCCTGAAAGGAAGAAGCATCGCACTTAGCCCTGATGTAGCTTTTCCTGTGGCTCCTGGACTTGCCCTTGGGTTGCATTGTTCATCCCCCTTGAAACCAGCATGGTAGCTGCTAATTGTGATGTTTGTTTGGGACCTGTCTCTTGGTACTCTTTGAGAAGTGGCAGTGAGTAAAGGAGTAATGCTCATAGTCCTTGCTGCTGGAGCATGTGTCGTGTGTGGGTTAAATCAGTTTTCTAGACCTGTAGCACAGCTTTCCTGATCTGAAGCTCCCGAGGCAGGGCTGGTGTCAGGCTCACTTGTGCTTCCCTTCAGCACACTAGTGAAGTGAAGAGACCATGGGCTCTGTATCATGTCATTTGTCAGTTGTAGACCTGGGCCAGATACCAAACTCCCCCGAGCTTCAGTCTTCCCATCTGGGCCACGGTGGTCCCGGCACACAAGGTGCAGTGCGGCTCTTACCCAGGGTGGATGCTCAGTGACTGATCCCCTCTGCGAAACAGCGAATGCATTTAAATACCTGCTGAGCATCATTTCAGGTTTTATTTCTACCCTTGTGCTGTGTGCCTGACTGAAGCCATTCATTATTGACAAAATTTATAAATATATGCAGGTTAGAAAAGATAGGAAGTACTAATATGTTGATTCCTGAAAGCATAGGAATTTGACATTTGAAATTAATTTCTTAATTCTGCTTTTGTACTCTAAGCCTGAATACAGGGACTATGTCAAATTTATCTTTGCATCTCCTAAAATTCCCAGCATATGCTTGATTTTATAGTAGAAAAACTTGAATATTTCAATAAAATAAAAGTTCAAGTGCAAATTCAGCATTTTATAGCAGGGTTAGCTTATTTATTCATGCATTTAAGTAGAGATCCGAATGTGTAAATTTAAATTGAACCCTGAAGTCTGTGCAGCCCAAGACTTGCTCTTACAGATTTTAATTGCTTTAAATATCCTCAGTTTCAGGAACGAATCAAGTGAACACACAGAACACGCTGTGATTGGTAGCTGTTGTTAATGTTGTTGAGCATTTTGATGGAGGGGACATAAATCAGTAATAAATTCAGTTTCTGTTTTTAGCAAGGGCTTTAAAGATACAATTCGGATGAACTAACCTAGCAGCACCCCAACCCCCTTTTAATGTTGACCATCTGAAGTGCCGGAAGTTTTGACTTTGGTCATGGTCTTCTGCCAGGGCATCCAGTCCTGTCCTAAGAGCAATAGAGAACTGAATAGGGACTTAGTAGATGCATTGCCTTGAGTCTACCCCCAGCCAGGGCAGGGTACAGAGCAAGACATTTCCTGCTTGTAAGAAGAGAAAGAACTTGGAGTGAAAAACATCTTGCATTTTCCCGAGAGACAGTGCAGTATGGTGGGAAAAAGGCCTCTCAGAAACGCCGGCTGTGTCTGAATCCTAGGCCACACTCTGCTTCTAGCCCAGCATGCTGACACTCGCTTCCACTGTCTCAGCCTCAGTTTCTCATCTGAGAAATGAGGTTGAACTGGAGGTTTTTTTAAGGGCCTTCTGACTCCCATGTGGAAAATAGGCTGTTGGTGTATAGGAAGAGAGAGCTGGTGTGAAGGCCTCTCAAATCCTGTTTTTTCTTTGTCATTTATGCACCAGAAAATGACAGATGGCGAGACCTGGACAGGAAGTGCCCTCTTCAGGTTGACCAGCCGAGCGCCAGCATCTGGGAATGCCTGCCTGAAAAGTGTCAGGACGGCACACTGTGGCATCAGGAGGCTGTGACTGCCTGTGCAGTGACCAGCCTGATCAAAGACCTCAGCATCAGTGACCACAACGGGAGCCCCTCAGCACCTCCCAGCAAGCGCCAATGCCGGTCACTGTCCTTTTCTGATGAGATGTCCAGCTGCCGGACGTCATGGCGGCCCTTGGGGTCCAAAGTCTGGACACCTGTGGAGAAGAGACGGTGCTACAGCGGGGGCAGCGTCCAGCGCTACTCCAACGGCATCAGCACCATGCAGAGGAGCTCCAGCTTTAGCCTCCCTGCCCGGGCCAATGGGCTTTCCTCACCCTGCCACCAGGCGGTATTGCACCACCGCTTTGGGGGACAACCCTGCCAAGTGGCACCAGGCTTGGCCTCCTGTGGACAGGCAGGTGACACCTGGACCCCCGACCTGCACCCCACAGGAGGGGGCCGGCTAGACCTGCAGCGGTCCCTCTCCTGCTCACATGAGCAGTTTTCCTTCGCGGAATACTGTCCACCCTCAGCCAACAGCACACCTGCCTCAACACCAGAGCTGGCGAGACGCTCCAGTGGGCTCGCCCGCAGCCGCTCCCAGCCATGTGTCCTTAATGACAAGAAGGTTGGTGTAAAACGGCGGCGCCCTGAAGAAGTGCAGGAGCAGAGGCCTTCCCTAGACCTTGCCAAGATGGCACAGGTAGGTGCCACAGGGGCCTGAAGGGGGCTGCAGAAGCACTTGGTGCTCAGTGGATGGAGCCTCTGTTGGTTCTAGTCTGTTCCAGCCAAGTGCACAGTGCCACTTTCAGAAGTGCCCAGGAGTGGGTTAATTCCCTTGTCTTTAAAATCCTGTTTAAAGAAGATGAATTCAAGTTCATTTTTTAAAAGTGTCCATTTCTTTCCATTTAAAATGAGACACGCTCTTTCCCTGTGGTGCGCAGTGCTAGTGGGTACAAGAGCAGACAGATGGCGAAAGGCGGCGTCAGCAGGCAGTCCAATGTGAGGACTGTGAGATCCCCTCCCAGACCTCCAGGCAGCCCTCTTGGAACCACCCCTGCAGCCACCGGAGACACACTACATTCAGTGTCTCTAGGATTATGCTGATCCAGGCAGTGGATAATGGTTTTAGGAGCAAGGTGGGGAGTAGGAGGTAGCTCGTGGGGAGTAGGAGGTAGCTCGTTTCTTTGATTAAACTGCAAAATGTTAGACTGCTAAGAAACGATGACCACTGTCCTCTGTGCCGTCTCTGTAACGATTCTCATTGTTTGCTATAGGAGAAGCCTCTGGCCAAGTGCCTCTATCCCTTGGATTTTGCCCTCTTTATTTTGGGCCCTGCCTTGTGCCAACACTGATCTTGGGTACTGATTTAAATGAGGTGAACTTGGAGTTAATCCCCCATTGTCAGGACAGTCCCTGAGTTCAGAGTTGGCTGTATTTGGTTCTTGCCTGGGAAGCCCAAGGATGCCAGCTGGTCAGTGAGGCCCGGGATACAGATGGGTTGGTCCTTGGTCTGACTGTTGGCTCTAGGATGGGTGGATGTGGTGGACAGAACGTGCCCTGCTGCTTGGGGTCACTCAGGAGGTGCCCTCTTGCTCTGTTGCCACTGATTCTGGTCTTACGTAGAGAAACACTGATCACTGCTTGGTTTAAGGTGAACAAGGCCTGTTTGCTGGTAAGGGTGTTCTCAGTGGCATTGGTCTTGCTTCTGCAGCACTGTGGCCAGATCCAGGGTGGCAGACTGGTGGTGCCTGTTCTGTCCCAGGTGGGCACAGCCGATCCCCTTCAATGCCTATTACTATCATCCCAGATGGGCTTCCTTCTGCTTTGGAAAGATGCTGCAGTTTCTGTTCATGGAGTTTCCTTCTCTCCCCATTAATCCCCCTCCCAGCTTAGAGGTGCCCCATGAAAGAGGAGGTGCAGGTCCATCCAGTCTAGAGTCAGGCTAGACTCTGGGCCCTGGCTGAGATAGCTGGAGGGCAAGTTGATGACATTCCCATGTCTTTCCTGTGTCCTTGGGCCCACTTGGGAAAGAGGCTGGAGGAGTGTAAGGCAAAACTACTGCCCCCCTGATCCAGCTTTCATGTCTTTCCTCTTGACTCTGGACATGCCCTCTCTCCTTGCTATGTAGTAGACATTTGGACTCATCTCACTGGACCAGGATTGAGCACTTGCATTGAATACCATGAGGAAGTTTCCTTCTCCAGAGAAATTTAAATAGGTAAAAAGGCTGAATAGGTGACAGCTTTGAGTGACTTCTGAAGGATGCCCAGAACCCTGAGTTCTGGGTTCAATACACAGCCTCAGTTAAATTTTTAAAGCTAAGCTTTTTTTTTTTTTTTTTTTTTTATTATTAGCTAATGAGCTGGAGAGGTAATAAGAACAGTTTACACGTGTTATTACATTTTACTAGCTACAGATTGGAGTAACACCGCTGACATCACTGGAGACACTTTCCAGCCTCACTTGGGTAGAAACCATTTTAAAATGCATGGCTTGGTGGGCCGGTGCCCCGGTATATAGGTTGCTTCATCTGCTCCAGGTGGGCCTCTAAGATCCAGGAGTGCACCCTGGTGCCCGAGGAACCTGCCCTGGTTCAGCCCATCTGTCCTTGGCCACCTGCTCTGCAGCAAGTCCTGGGTAGGACGGAGCACAGGAGAGGTTGAGAGGGGCTCCTTGGAGGGGTGTGTGCCTAGCGGCCTGTGACCAGAGTGCTGGGGATGGAGCTTGTAGAGCCTGAACCATCTCTGCCTGGCATGTGACCCTGCCAGCCCTTCCTCCACTGGGCTCTGTGCTCTGCCTGTTTTCAGTCCCCCATTGGGGGATTTATAGCCCCAGGAGTTAGGCCTTGTTTTTCCAAGAGGCCCTGAAAACCAGGCCTAGGGCAATTCTTAGGTGTTTGAAAAGAACTTTGGACTGAGCCAGGACAGTGTTGGACCCTGGGCTTGGGTACCTAATGAGCGGGATTTTCCCTGGGGACCTGCACATTGCCGGAGAGTGGCTAAGGTTGAGCCAGTTGCCCAAAGACCCTAGCCTCTGTGTGCAGGGCTGCCCGCAATATTTGCAAGTTCCAGATGGTAGGTAGGGTTTGTGCCGGTGGGAGAGGGGCTTGTACCCAGGCGTGGAGCCAGCCATGCTTCTTTAAGCTCGCCCAGAGACTCTGTCACAAGTCTTTGATCTTGGTTTATACCTTTGTTTCACTTGAGCATTCTTGTGAAGGGGAGCCCCTTTGCATGTGGCTTCTGGAACCAGGTGCATGAACATTTCAGATAAAAGGTGCAGAGTACCTTTTCAGTTAGGCCTTTGGAGCAGCTGGGCATTCTGATAAAGAAACCCCAGCTCCCCAGAGGAGCTGACTGAAGCCCAGGCCTTGGGACCCAGAGCAACCTGAGGGCATATGAGGATGGGGGCTTCCTACTAGCACTTAAGAGTGGCCAGGGGCCGGGGTTGTAGCTCAGTGGTGGAGCTGATTTTGATTCTTAGCACCACATATAAATAAATAAAATAAAGGTCTAAATTAAAAAAAAAAAAAAAAAAGGAGTGGCCAGAGGGGTAGCAAGAGCTAGAGCCCCCCCCCCCCCATCCCAATCTGCTGGTAGAAATGGGGCCAGGGAGAGACCCAACAATCAGACGGCAATGGAGGCAGAGAGTGCTGAGAGCCTGCCTTGCATTCAAATGCATCGTAGCTGGGTTTGGCAGGAGCCAGTGTCCTGGGTGTAGACTCTGGTAGAAGCAGGTGTGACCTCAGGGCTTGTCCATTCCAGCCTTTCTTGGGAAACAGGGGCTCTTATGCTTCCTAGGCCTGCCAGGGCCCTTTCAGACATGGTCTTCACTTTAGGATTTGCATGTAGAAGGAACATTGATGAACTAGAAGGCCTCTAGAAGAGGGACTGGAGGCAGGAGCCCTGGACAAATTGTTTGACATCACTGTGCAGCAGACACCATAGCCACCACCAACAGAGGACTGTGGGAGGAACAAGGGAACTTCTATATTTGTGGGATGTGTTTATGTACGTGAGTGCATTGTGCACATGTGTATCTGTACCTCTGTGGGTGTGTGTCTTGATCTGTTTGTGTAGGTATGTGTATCTGTGTTAGTGCATGTGTGTGCAGCTCTGTGTGCACACATACACACACAGTGCATTGGCTGACACAGGATGAGGGCTCACAGATGCATATTATCCCCATCACACTACAGGCCTGAATGGGGGAAGGTGGGACTATGGCCACTCGAGAGGCAGAATTGAGACCGAGGATGGGTTCTGGGAAGTGCACTAAGACTATCATAAGAACTCCCTTTTTTCACCTTTCCTCCTGTCCTTGTCACTTCCTACTTCTTGTTCAACGTCCCTTTGTCTCATCTTCTTTCTTTGGTAAATGGAAGAAGGCCTGCTGGCCACATCCCTGCCCGCAGCCCTGCCCAGCCCAGTCTGCCATGAACTCTGTGTTAAGAGCCAAAGATTATAGAATGGCGATAGCATCAGATCTTCCCCTACTGGAGGAAGTTGGCTGTGTTCTCATCTGTTTATCGACCCTTGAAGCTGGGTGGAAGTATCCCAGGAGCCACCGGCCACCCCCTTCCCAGCTGTATCTTTTGGGTACAGCTGTCATTAACAGTAGTGGAACCCTTGTCTTTCAGCAGTGAGGATGAGGTGCAGTGGTGGGGGTGGAGACATTGTTTTCAGATTGTCTCTGCTTAGATGCTCTTAAGACCCCACTGTCTAGATTGTGGGCTGTGATACCAAATGAAGCTGCAGGTGCCCTGGCTATCTGGACCCTGAGTGAGGGAGCGGACTAAATGAGGAGCGCCCCAGAGGGGGAGACGATGCTAGGCCCTGGTCCAGAAATGTCTACCCTCCCCGTGTTTACAGTGAGGCTGCTTGGCTCCACAGAGGCAGCCCAGGGGGTCTTGTGCTCCTGTCCCAGACAGGTCTGATCCTGCTGCCCTCCTCACATGGCTGTCCTTATGTGGTCTTCTGAGACCCTTCTGCTCAGAATTCATGTGAAGCCACAGCCTCCCCTTTGTACAACAAAGGGTGTTGCCCTGGAGGGCAAGGCGGGGCTGAGCAGAAGAGTTTATCAGCAGGGCTTTTGGTGATCTGTTAGTTACTGCTTCCTTGAGACCTGGTCTGACCCCAAGCATTGGTTGTCTCCTGGCAAGGCTTGAGCTCTGCCTGGCCATTCAGATGTGGATCATGTGTGTGAGCAAAGATTACAGAAAAAGCAACAGTTAATAAGATTACCCATTGAATGCCACAGTTCTTGCCATATTTTTAACTCCAAGCTGGTCAGCTTGAAAGAGCAACAAATTGCATTTTTCAACAGTGCTTCAAACAGAAGCAGGACCTTCGTCGGAAAGGGTCAGGATACTGAGACAGAGGTTTGATTGATCGCAGCTGCCCACACATGCATCCCGACCTTCCCCGAGGAGGCCTCAGAACAGGCAGCAACTGTTGTGTTAGCAGATGTTTGAGGGACCCGTGAAAGCTGGCTAAGGTAGTTTGGGGTAGGAAAGGAGCATGAGGAAACTAGTGTGGCAGCACCTCTCCAGGAAGCTGCTGGGGGTTGGGGGGCCTGTGAATATAGGAGAGCCAGGTTGATGGGGCCACCAGGGCTCCCCTGGTTAAAGAGGTACTGTGGCCATCAGCAGAGGGTTATGTGGAAGTTTATCGATGACTTATAGCTCTCTCTGGGCAGGAGCAT